CGCAGCCAGGCTAGTCGCCGCCGCTGGCCCCCGGACCCCCGGTCCAGCGACACGCTAGCCGCACACCCCCCCGGCCGCGGTTGGTCGCGCCCAGCTCGCTGCCGCTCCTTCCGCCCCGCCCCCTGGCCGGAAGTGCGGCGCCGCCACGGTCCCTCCGCAGCCCTCCGCCGGTCGCAGTAGCCGTTCGGGTCGTCTCGTGCGTGTGTCCTCGGATCTGGTGAGTGGCTCGCGGCACCCCCACCCCGCGTCGGTCCCTCTTGCTGCGCCACCGCGCCTGGAGCCTCCGGGCGGCGGGACAGCCAGGCTGGCGGAGAGGAGGCGGCTCAGGATGAGGCCCTGCCGCAGGTCCCGGGCTGGCGAACCCTGCCCGAGGCCCTGCGTCGCCTGGATGCCTGACACCTGGTACCCGGCTGCCTGCACCTGCCGCGGCCGCAGGCTTCAGGTCCTATTGGTGTGGCGGCGCCATCTACGCGCATCCGTTCTAGACGCTTTGGGGGAGGAGAAGCCGGCTGGTGCACCACGGTTCCTGCCTAAGGAAGCCTGGCACCGGTCCTGGAGTTCGTGGTTAGCAAAGGCTAAAACGAACCGCTTTCCATCCATTCTTCCTGTACCTGGCGTCTTGCAGAGATTTAGTTCATCTGAGAAAAGGACAATTCAAAAAAAGCTGTAAAGAATTGAGAACTTACTAAGCAAAGGCTCCAAGAGGAAGAACTGGGTGTTTTTGGCTAGATGTCTTGGAGGAAATAACAAAAGCAAAAAAAAAAAAAAAAAAAAAAAAAAAGAAAGAAAGAAAAGGAAAGAAAAAAAAGAAAGGTGGGCATCGTACCATATGTTCAGGAAGCACGAGAGACCAGCCCCCCCGAATGGAACAAAACAATAATGGACAAGAGCTGGGAATGAGAAAGATAGGGTGGGGCAGGGCTCTATACAAGGTCCCGGGCCTGGATCCTATAAAATAAAATAAAGTAGTTAACTAAGTTAGGCCTTTTTATAGGTGTGTTGAAAACTTACAGAGAAATAAAAAGATTATGTAAGGGACCTTAGGGAGTCACTCTATAAGGAAATAACACGATGAAAGGGTCTTTAGGGGGTCAGGCTAACAGCTTTTCGTTAAAGATGACTTTGCTCTACTGTAGTCCTGCGTGTTGGAGAAAAATCACAGCATTTTCTAATTCGGTAGACTCCCTACAGACTATCTCCTGAAACCGTTTTTAGTTTACACTCACGGAAAGTGGTGAGGTAATTTGCCTGGGATCAGTTGAGAAATTCATAGGATGCCACCAATTTCCACTGTACACTCTCTCACTGAACACAGACACACACACAGGTGCCTGATCACCCTTCTGAGTGCACAGCTTTAAGTTTGTTTCCGCTGTGTTAAATAAATTCTATGATGGCTGCCTCCATACTTGTTTCTGCTTTAGTGAGACTGAGCTTACTGAACTTTGGTCTCGGAAGGACAGATCCCTAGGTGATGGTGGCTAAACTTAGGAAAGCCAAGGATGGGGCCAGTGTCCCCATTTTCCCAAGGTTAAAAAATACCATCTGTCTAAGGAGGAGTTTTATTATACCCTCATTATCAGTATCTTTGGGCTCTGGCTAGTTCCACATGGCAGGCAAAGCAAATCCCCTTCTACCTCTGAAGGTTGATCCCGGAGTCCTCCCTGACTGGTAAGGGAGTGAAAAAGACAGCAAGCTTGTAGGGGGTGGGAGTGGGTGCAGGTAGGCAGTTTTAGAGGAAGTAAACTGGCTTGAAAAACAGGATATCCGGGACAGCTCCTTTGGACTCTTGAGTATGGTGTGAACTCTGGACGTTTTTCCAGACTTGGGGAGGTAGCCCTAGCTACTCCATTGTTTCTGCTTCCCATGCTTGGATCCTCTTCGTGAGAGAGGGAGGAGAAGGGAGGCAGAGACCTAAAGGCGCTTCTTTGATTCAGAGTACTAGTGTGGCGAACAGCATATTTGATGTCACCATTTTTGAACCCCAAAGTACACATTAGCCTTGCTGGTCACCTCACCTAGAGTTTTCAAGGCGGCTATGTTGCAGCTGCTGCTAAGGACATGAGGAGCGGCTGGATTCCCTAGGTATGCTTTCTGCCACTTTGTAGCTTTGATCTGGAAAACAGGGATCCCGATACGCCCGCATTATAAGCTGTTTTGAGGGTTAAATAGTCAATGCTTGTGACTTGCTTACTCTGCTGCACCCATAGCTTGTCCTTTGGTAATATTTCTTCCAAGTGCTGAGCACAGGGGTAACCTGTTGGTGGAGTTTGTGAGGAAGCTCTGGAAAATGAGCCTGGCTAAGTGTGTGCTGACTTAGAAAAAAGCCTTACTTCAGGAGTGCACGCTCAGCTCTAACACCTGCCGTACCGTGAACACTTGTGTATGCAATTTGTTTTTGATGGAAAGAAGTTACTTATATGTATGTTCTTGCTTACCTATTTGGCACCTGCCAGGTGCAAGGCAGTCTTCTAGACTTTATAATCCAAGAAGAAAGACAAAAGGCTGTAAAAAGCCTTTGTAAGTAAAAACTTAAGAATATTTGTAAGTTGTAATTTTCAGTGTAATTCTACTAGTGAGTAGAAAAGAATAAAGGACTGAATGTGTAGCACTTGCCTGATATGTTGGAGGTCCTGGTTTGATCCCACACACTCAAAAATGGTTTTTTAAAGAAGAGGAGGAAGACCACTCATAAACTCAACACAGTGGGTCAGTCTCAAAACTATTACATTGAAAGACTCCAGGCTGGCCTGGGGAGATGGCTCAGCAGTTAAGAGCACTAGCTGCTCTTCTAGGACCCGGGGTTCAATTCCCAGCACCCACAACTGTGGCGACTCACAACTGTCTGTAATTCCAGTTCCAAGGAATCTGGCATCCTAACAGACATTCATGCAGGCAAAACACCAATGCACATAAAATTTAAAATTTAAAATGAATTTAAAGTGAATAAATCTTAAAAAAAGGAACAAAAGAAAGAAACCAGGCCTACACAAGTATATACATTTGCTTTTTGGTTTAAAAGACACTCACACAAGAGTAGATCAAGTTAAGATGGTCTCTGATAACCTCTATCGTAGCCCCTGGAAGCTGAGGCAGGAGGTCCTGAGCTTCAGTCAGCCTGGGCAATGTAGTAAAACTTGTCTCAGGAAAGAAATCCAAACAAGATTTGCCTGGGTAGTGACTTCCGGGAAACTTTCTGGAGTGATGTTTAACATTTGTAACTGACTTGGGTTATTACATGGGCGTACACAGTTACAGAAGTGGTCAGATTTGTGCACTTTAGAAGTGATAGAGATATCAGAGAATAGGGAACTGCCGGGACACCCAGAACACCTGGAAGGAAGGAAGAAGAGAGGGCGCTGCGGTGTATGTGGCAAGTGTGCCTGGTGTTAGATGTAAAGGCTGTGTTTGACTCTTTAAAAGATTTTTTTTTTTTTTTAAGTTTTTCGAGACAGGGTTTCTCTGTGGTTTTGGAGCCTGTCCTGGAACTAGCTCTTGTAGACCAGGCTGGTCTCGAACTCACAAAGATCCGCCTGCCTCTGCCTCCCAAGTGCTGGGATTAAAGGTGTGCGCCACCACCGCCCGGCTTGACTCTTTAAAAGAAAGATAATTATGGAACTTAAAAACCTAACGTATGTAGCATAAAAACAATTATGTGTCATTAAGTACATTAGGTTAATTTTGTAAAGCATCTTAATTTGACTGTATACTGAATTCTCTTTGATTGCTGCTTTCAAACTGTTGTTCTTGTGTCTAGTCATGTGATCCTCAGAATTAGAACAAACAGTAGCTCATCAAGGGAAGCCCTGTGCAATTTCTAGATTCCGACCGACCTTGGAAAAGATGAAACCGAATGTGAGAAGATCAGAGTGTTTTAACACCCTGGAGTCACTCTGCTTCTAGTCTGGGTTTCTCCTGCTGCAACTCTGTCTACACTGTCCTCGCCAACAAGACTCACAACCCCCACCTTGGGCATCTGCCATCCTAGCGTAGTTGGGCTAGAACGAGAAGTCTTCTGTGAAGGTTTATGTTGAGTTATGTGTGTGGGGTGTGTGCATGTAAAAGACTGAGTACTGATCCCAGAGGCAGTGGATCCCCTGGAGCTGGGGTTACAGGTGGTTGTGGTCTTCTCCGAGCAGCTTGCACTCTTGATGACTCCAGCCCCTAAAATTTGAATCCTTTATGATTCCTTTGCCCACAAAGCCAGTTCCCACCCTTTCCTCCCTCATTGACTTACACTGAGTGATAACTTTTATTTTTCAGTTTTATGGTTTCTGTTGTTTGGTTCAGTTTTTTAGACAGAACCTCATTCTGTAACCAGGCTGGCTTGGGGCTCATTGTGTAGCTCAGGCAGTCCTCTTGCCTTGGCCTGGAGAGTGCTGGGAGGAAAGACGTGAAGCCCCACACCCAGCTTGAGTGGAGCCTCACGCTTCTCAGCCAGCCTTTAAGCACATTTAAGGATGAAACTTTGAAGAAAGCTGCAATTAGAAAGCAAGAAAAACCTGCAAAGCAGTAGAGGCATAGGAAATAGGGTGGTGGTGGCAGGGAGAAGAGCCTTGTGTTTGAGAGAACCTACCGAACTGGGGGAATTCTGTCACAGTCACATTTTCTTAACCAGAAAGAAAATTCCCTAGTCACCTGACTGATCCATTTGAACTTTCTAGAATTCGGTGGCTCTAATCTCAAAATGAAGGTGTTTCCTCGTCTCACTATTAAAGAAATAACGTAACAGTGGCATTGCTGCTTTTCTGTTGATATATAACAAATTGCCCTCAATTTTGTTTTGAGTACCTGTAAGGCAATACCAGGGGTTTTTTGTTTGTTTGTTTGTTTGTTTCTTGTTCTTTTGGTTTTTTTGTTTTGTTTTGTTTTGAGGCAGGGTCTTTATAGCCCTGTCTGTCCTGGAACTTAACTTTGTAGACCAGGTTGATCTTGAATTTAAAGAGATCTAATCTTGGGATTAGAGGGATGTGTCATCATACCTAGCTAATAAATTCCAGTTTTTTTTTTTTAATTTTGGAAACCAGAACATTTATTTTATGACAGATTGAAATCCTCAAGATGAACTGGATGCTGCAACAGCTGCCCTCTTGGGTTTAGGGGTTGTCCCTTCACGGAATCCATGCCTGAATCTTCGGTAGACAATTTTTAGATGCCTCATCTGCCCAGTCCCGGTAGTGTTTCGTCTCTTAGCCTTGGCACTCCAGTTATACTTTCTCTTGCGCTTGGCAGGGTAGCCGCATTTGCCACAAGTAGACTTCTGAAGGTGGTAGGCCTTAGAGCCACAGCGGCGGCACAACGCGTGCGTCTTGTTGCGACGCTTTCCGAAGGATGACGTTCCTTCCGTCATCTTGCTTCTGTCGCCGAGGCCAAAGAGCTAAATTCCAGTTTTTAAACCCAAAAATCTCCAAACACTTTAGTCTTGTGAGGTTGTCCTTATCTGAAGGGAAGATTGTCTTCTTCAGTGTGGTTGCCTCACACGGCTGGCCAGTTGCTTCTGGCTGTTGGTAGGAGGCCTAGCTCCCCACTTCCTGGTGCGAGCACCTACATACTGACTCAACAGAGCGAGCAGGGGGTGCAGTGTCTCTCGTGACAGTCAACCACTGTCATTTCATAACGCTCTGTGTTTACACTGGTCACTTCACTGTGACAGCTGTTGGGGAGCCTAACTACCCCTTGGCAAGGGAGGGAAGTTCCGTGCCATTGGGATCCATGCAGGTAGCATGAACATGGGGGTGGGATTAGGGTGTAGGGAGGGGGTCTAGTCTAGTTCTTCATTCTGCAGTTGTTCAAGATGTTTGAAATTCGGTTTCTAAGTAAAGCTAATTTTTGGAGAGACATTTTAAAAGCCATCTTGGAGGGTACTAACCAAACCTTCCTACAGACTGCATGTAATTTGCTGGCTGCCAGTCATTGGCTATGAGCCAGTTACTGGATATGTGTATATGTGTGTGCAGGCCAGAGGACAATCGCTGGTGTCATTTCTCAGGTGTGTTCACCTTCATTTTAAGACATCATCAACCACTGGCCCACATGCATCACCAGATTCGGATAGGCTCAAACTCAGGTCTCATGCTCAAAGACTAAGCACCAACTGAGCCATCTTCCTAGGTAGCTCATGAATCACCTCTTAGATGGATGAGGAAAATGGGGTCTGGGATGGCTAGACTAGCCAAAGGTCAAACAGCTGCTCATGTCAGAACTGGAGTTAGAATCCAGGCCTCCGCATCTCCATTTTCCCATAATGACCATCAACTTTGAAAAGCCAGGGGAAACTGGACATTTACACGGCCAGAGTGGGCCTAGTGGTTTCAGCCTTAGCTGAACACTGGAAATGCATAGTGCATTTTTAAATTTTTATTTATTTTATTATCTCATGATTATGAGTGTTTGCCTGCATGTAAACACTCCGTGCACCGTGTGCATGCCTGATACCTCTGGAGGTCAGAAGAGGGTGTCAGATCCCCAGGGACTAGAGTCACAGATGGTTCTGAGCCTCCACGTAAGTGCTAGGAATCAAATCCTGGTCCTCTGCAGGTACTCCAGCCAGTGTGAAGCAGCTCTCCAACTCCTACTTGGTGCGTTTAAATTCTTGGCCTTCACGCCAACATTCCCTTCTGGTAGGCTTGACGAAGACCCAGGCATCGTTTTTTATAAACTTCATAGATGACTGATACATGACCAGCTTCTGGGAGAGCGGTGTATATTGGCCATATGGTGATAACAAAGACTTGGGAAGGCATCAAAGGGAGCTTGGAAGCCATAGGCAGCATGTGCTCTGAGCATCTTTCCAAGCCTGGGGAAGCCTTACAGGCAGAATGAAACTCACCGAGTTCTGCTTGTTAATGATACGTTCCCTTGCTCTGACTTGGATATCAGACATTTGCATCACTTGTGACACCGGCTTCCTGCACCCCAGCCTGTGGTGTGACTCGAGAGCACAAACACCACTTAGTTCACTACATTAGGAATGTAGAGAAATAGTAAAATGTTTGAAGAGAAAATGGGTCTTGTTTTTGTTAAAGGTAGTAATTTACATTCTGGGCAATGTTTTCTGTGAATAGTCTCGTCTGTAACTGTAGTCTAGGGGTAGAGTGTTGGGTTAGGTGGGCCCCCACCACGTGCACACACAACACACACACACACACACCACTTTGATAATTGAGCATAAAGGTTTCTCTGTTCAATCATGGCTAATAGAAGTTACTGCTGGCCGGGTGGTGGTGGTGGCACAAGCCATTAATCCCAGCAGAGGTAGGCAGATCTCTGTGAGTTCAAGGCCATACAAGAGCTAGTTCAAAGCTACAGAGAAATCCTGTCTCGAAAAAACAAAAACAAAACAAAACATAAAGCTATTGGCACTTCTTAACCCAGTCTGAGCTGCTGCACCACATCACATACCCCGGGGTTTCCCTTCCATCTGCTGGTCGCTCACCGTGCAGTCCTGCTGTCCATGTAGTTTCTCTACTCTATCTAGTTCTGCTCTTCTGTGAGCCGAATGTAGAAGAGAATTGTGCTCAGAAGCCCACGTTTGTCTCCAGTGGGTTGTGAGCACAGCTGACCTGGGGTCATTTAATGTCTGGTCTTCATTTACATCATTGGGAAGGCAGGCAGTTTCGTTCAGTTCAAGGCGTCTTGAATGTTATCCACTTGTGACTCCTCCTGGAAAAAAAGTAAGCGTGTGTGTGTGCACGCATGTGTGTAAAATATGTATACATGGGGCTGAAGAATTGTCTCAGTGCGTGACGGCTGTTTCTGCCAAGCCTGGCAGCCTGTGTTTGATCTCAGAAGCCAAGCCCATGTGGTGAGGGGAAACCGGCTTTCAAACATTGTCAGCTGACATCCGTGCATATGTTGGCACACACGAATTTAAAAAAATGTTTTTAAAAAAAATCCATGGTAGTGTATGCTTTTGATGCCCGCATTGAAGAGGCAGGACAGCTGGGAATAAGTCTACGTGAATGAGGAAGATGGGGCTCTCCATGGTGACAGAGAAATGAGGAAGATGAGCACATCTGAGAACTATTTGAGAGACGGGAGGGATTTGTGGAAGATGACTTGGCTTCCTGGCAGGGTGAGTGGGTGGACCGAGAAGTCTGAAAGCTGGGAAAGTTGAGAGGGAGGATAATGGATTCAGTTTTCAGCTTGTTGGTTTTGTGGTGTCTGTGGGATGGCCGAATGGGCATGATTCCTAGGCAGTCGGCTATGAATCCAAAGCACAAAGGTGGAGCACCAGCCTGGAGGTGTAGGCCTCGGAGCCAGAACAGTGAGAGTCGATGAGATCATTCAAGGAGAGCGCTTTCAGCCATGAAGGGGAATTTTGATGCAACCGAGAGGCAGAGACTGGCTTGCAGGTTATAAAAATATTCTTCATAAGAGCCAGGTGTGGTGGTACATGCCATAATTCCAGCACTGGGGAGGCAGAAGGAGAAACCCTACCAGCCTTGGATGCATGGTGAACCCTTGTCAGAAACGGCAGGGAATGAGAAACCTGGATGCCAAGTGAGTGAGGGTGAAAGAAGAAGAAAATGCAGAGGGCCAGTCCTGGAAGGAAGCTCGAACAGTGGCAGGTACAGGAAAAGGGCCTGGAAGCCTTCCCGAGTTTGTCGCCTTGACGCGGCCGCTGTGGCAGAGATGGATGGCCAGCTTTCTGTGGGCTGGAGAGCGAGTGGGCGGTGAGGAAGCAGAGGTGCTTGTCTCAGAGAGCAAGAGGAAGAGCTGTTTTCTTCTGGGCCTCCCCTTCAGACTGCCGGTTTTGATACCTTTGCTCACTTTTCAACTGATGTGTATGTTTAGTTTTTATAGGTGCCATATAGTTATATGAAGTATATTTTATTTTTGTGCTTCAGGGGATTGAACCCAGTACCTTGAACAGCTAGACAATTACTCTCACTGAATTATGTCCCCAGCCCTAAAATATCTAAAACTCCCAGCACTTAAGATCATAAATTCAAAGCCAGCCTGGGCTATAAACAAGTAAAACTCTAAAGAATGTGGGGGGGGGGTGAGACTATGTATGTATGTATGTATAACAAAGTTGGGTTGCTGGTGGTGGTTTGAGACAGGATCTCACCATGCTGGGCTCAAAATTGGGTTTCTTAACAAACAGTTTTAGGACTGGGTAATAACTCAGTAAAGTGCTTGGTCATGGTCCAGACCCCACATAAATGGCGGGCACATAAGTGCGCCTAAGATCCCAGTGCTGGGGAGGCACGGTGGCAGGAATCCCTGGAGCTCCTTGGCTAGTCAGTGAGTTCTTCACGCGTAGTGACACCCACCATCGGCCTCCGACTTCCACACACATCCGTGCGTGTACACAGACACTTTGAATAGAGATTTAAACACAAGCATTAAGGAAGGAGTGCTTAGGAAAAAGACAGTACATACCTAAGACATAAGAGAGTTGTGGCAAAAACCAAACTTGTGAACAACTCAGATGCTTCCTCAGTCCCCTGCTTACTCTGTAGCACATTCTGATTGAGCCTGTTAGTAATCGCATCCTCACCCATCAGCCTCCCCTCCTCCTCCTCCCCCTCCTCCTGCCCCTGCTCCTCCCTTCATCTGGGGGTCAGAAGACTGCCGTCCCAGCTGAGACTGGTGCCGCCCCCAGCAGTTCTTTTCCACTACTCAAACTCCTTAAGCTGATCCTTGCATTTAGTTCTACCTTCTTGAAGAACTCTAATGAAGTCTCAAAAATGTTTAGTGTAGGATATTCTGGGTTAACTTTCAGCATGATAGAGTTGACAGATTATTTTTTTTATGTTACTAGTTAGTGAGTTTGCATAAATGATCGGCTGGTAGAACTTATCTGTGCCTTCAGACTCCTAATATCTACTAAATCTTGAAATAAGATTTAATACTTTTTGAAGTTTCTGCCCCCTGATAAGCTTCTCCGTGATTACAGTCAGTAATCCAAATTAGACAAAACCAGAACGAATTAGAAAAAAACCCAGGTTTGACCAGCAACCACGTTTGTTCTCTAGGGGACAGTTTAAACACCCTGCTGTAGTGGTCTTGAGCATCTCTGGGGAGGGGTTATTATTGAGGGGCTTTCTTGGAGGTGGAGTCTGAACTGAGGCTCAGGGTGGCGCCTCCATCCAAACTTTCTAGACTCTTTGGGTATATGGATGCCAGGGCCTGGAGTGAAGCCTTCACCCAAACACTTTTCACACGAGAAAAACTTGGGTCTAACAATTTTGGGATGTAAAGCGTCAAGGGGTGGCTCATTGGAAGAACGTATTATAATATGCATGAGAACCTGGGCTTATACCTGTGCTGCCTAATTTTAGTTTAATCTGAGAGAGGGAGCCTCCACAAGATCACATGTAGGCAAGCCTGCAGCATTTTCTT